GTGTGTTCTACGCTGGTTGCTTTGTATAGTTGGTTGTCATCTGCATAAGCATGGTGCTGTACAGAGTGTTGTTTTATAAGATTGAATAACGGCTCTGTATATAGGACAAACAGAACTGGTCCCAGGACGGGACCTTGAGGAACACCACAGCACAGAACAGCACAGAACTTGATGAGGTGTAGCCATTAACAACAATGATCTGGGTCCTGCCAATGATGTAGTACTCAAACCAATTCAAAACTGGTCCAGATTTACCAAATGTATGTTCAAGTCGATGAAACAAAATGTTGTGATTGACAGTGTCAAATGCAGCGGACAAGTCTAATAAAACCAGTATGCTTAATTTGCCACTGTCAATGGTATTCAGTAGATCCTTGACAATTTTCAAGAGTGCAGTTTCAGTACTGTGGTGTTTACGATATGCAGACTGATAAGTACATGTATTAAGCAGATGGTTAGTAATAAGATGATCGTTTAGCTGCATCAGGAAATGGAAGATTTAATACCGACCGACAATTATTTAGTTCATTTGCATTCAGTGATGGTTCTTGATTAGTGGTTTAACAAAGAGAGACTTGAATGGTGACGGGAATATACATGTGTACCAGTAGATAGTGAATCATTAATAATTGTTGTTATATATGGTAACATTGTATCCAAGCATTCAATTAACAAGTTAGTTGGTATGATATCAAGATCGCAGGATTAAGCTGGAGATTTGAGAATCGCGTATTTCACTAGCACCTCAGAAATCGGATTAAAATTGTTCAGAGTGTGACCTTGGAAACGTTTTTCACTATGGACAGAAATATCATGATCTTGGCAATCCAACCTTTCTCTAATCAATTTTACTTTACGGTTGAAGTATTCTAGAAAGCGTTCAGGCAAATCAATTGATGGGTAAATATATGGCAGAGTAGCAGTCACACTTCTACCAAGTACAAAATGTAGTTGATGTGTAACACTGAATAGTTGTACTTGTATTGTCAAGTACTTGTATTGTCAATAAATTTATTAAAAACTGGTGTATTATATTCAGCTGGTAATAAAATACCTTTAATTTCAATATCTCCAAATTTACGAGTTTCTTGTTCATAGCAGTCAATAAAATTTTTCATATTCGTACCAGGAAGTTTTCAAAGCATTTAAATTCACAATAGTTTGCTCAATTTTATCTGTAAGTTCAATAACCAACAACGTGTCTTGCTGAAATACCCTTGACAAATTTGCAATAATTGAAAGAAAATCTAAAAAAAAATAGAGCATCTTCAGGAAAGATGAGGATCTAATCACTTTTAAATAACCCATCTTGCGACTTGATTACTAGCTGTGTTTTACAACTGTAACAATATTTACCGCTAATGACTTCACTGCGCGTTCCTTGCTTGCCAACCAGCGAACTTGTTTGACTGACGAGAAATGTGCTAAGTCCGTCTCAAATATATTGGCAATTTCCTTAAGTTCATGTGAACATTTCGAAAAATAGTGGTAAAAATGAAATATCCACTTTAACATGGCCTCGAAGTCTGATATTTCTTTCACAGTTTTACAAACGTTCAAAATCGCCAATTCTAACTTGTGCACCACACAATGAATATCAATAGATGCTCGGGACAACATCTTTTATTTTCATGACGTCACCTGTGTTCTTTCCCATATTCACAAAGACACCATCAAAGTTTGATGTAATAAGAGATGTTTTTTTCAACGTATCAGGGTCGAGATCGTCCAAATTTGACACTTGATAATCCATTTGTCAGGGCATCAAAAACCTCCTGTGATGTGTCATTTTCTACCGATGTAATCGCAACCTCGCGGGTGACAGGTAACTTGGTACGTGGTCCAACATACATGTAGCGTACATAGGTAATTTCCTGTTCAATAATTGATTTGTTGGTACTTTCGTCACCAAGAACACTGATAAAATCCACTGTCTTGATTTCTTTGGAAATGTTCTTTCTTAATGTTGAAGCAATGTGTTCCATAAATTTTGTACAGCCATGACTATTAACATAAGTTTCTCTGAGCTTTACCACAAGTAAATTCGATGTCGGAAAAAGACTTTCCTGCTTTGGCAGTGTTGAATAAATATCTCATTCGGTCTTGGTTTTCTTTACCCATTTGTGTGAAAGATTTGACGATAAGAGTTTCAAATACATGTTGCTGCTCGGCCATCTTTATCTCTCAAGAACTGTCGGCTACATGACAAGTGTCATTGGTGACATTGTGTGATCGTAGCGTATCAAGTTTCAAATTAGTCGTTCCTTACACTAAGGCACTTAACTTATCAGATGACAGCGGATAGTTTCGGCAATATTTACAGAACATAGTATTCGTAATTCCATCGTAGCGTACACAAGGAATGTGTGTCATTGACTTCTACCCCTGTAACTTGCAGAATGTGTGTCATTGACTTCTACCCCTGTAACTTGCAGAATGTGTGTCATTGACTTCTACCCCTGTAACTTGCAGAATGTGTGTCATTGACTTCTACCCCTGTAACTTGCAGAATATGTGTCATTGACTTCTACCCCTGTAACTTGCAGAATGTGTGTCATTGACTTCTACCCCTGTAACTTGCAGAATGTGTGTCATTGACTTCTACCCCTGTAACTTGCAGAATGTGTGTCATTGACTTCTACCCCTGTAACTTGCAGAATGTGTGTCATTGACTTCTACCCCTGTAACTTGCAGAATGTGTGTCATTGACTTCTACCCCTGTAACTTGCAGAATATGTGTCATTGACTTCTACCCCTGTAACTTGCAGAATGTGTGTCATTGACTTCTACCCCTGTAACTTGCAGAATGTGTGTCATTGACTTCTACCCCTGTAACTTGCAGAATGTGTGTCATTGACTTCTACCCCTGTAACTTGCAGAATGTGTGTCATTGACTTCTACCCCTGTAACTTGCAGAATGTGTGTCATTGACTTCTACCCCTGTAACTTGCAGAATGTGTGTCATTGACTTCTACCCCTGTAACTTGCAGAATGTGTGTCATTGACTTCTACCCCTGTAACTTGCAGAATGTGTGTCATTGACTTCTACCCCTGTAACTCACAGAATGCGTTGTTGACTTTTATCCCTATAACTTGCAGAGTGCAGAACTTGATGAAGGCTGGTGTGATCAAAGAGAAAAATAAACCAGTTTGGTTTGATGTGATGAAAGCTTTTCCACCTTTAGAAGAACCACTATATCTTAGAAAAATTGACAAACGTCCACTGCCAAATATTCTTTATCCAGAAGACAAAATTAGAGCGTAAGTAGATATTAGATATTTGATTTAAAGGGGAACTAAATAGAGCCTAATTTGGTGTTTGTATTTATTTGTAGAGTTATGATGATTTACATATGAGAAACCATAAAACTGTCCCCGCCATCTTCCGATAAAACATGCCCGCATGATGTATAAACAAGAAAGGCAACAAAGCATGATGACGAAATACTATCTGATTATATATAAACAGCTTAATGAGCCATAGTTGGCTGGATTGATGAATTAACTTTCAGCCTAGGGAGTTTTGACTTTTACATTAATGTCTGGATGCTGAAGTAGGGTGGTGGACAAATTTTCATCTTGGGCTGCTCTGGCAAATCAATAGGACAGTTGTTACAGGAACACCAAGCAGATTGTTCACAGACTTACGAGTAATTTGAAATAAAACTATCATTCAAACAAGGGGCATTGTCGACATCAGATAGACTCTCGTTACTCACATTGGACTGATCTGAATCTTCGCTAAGTTAACAGTCTACCGTACAGTCCGTTAACAGTCTATCCTGATCATAAGCCCGGAGGAATGAACATGTAAAATCATGAAAAGTAAGAGATGGGCTTATACTCTAGGACCACCTCAGAAAAGATGATTTTTTTGGGGGGTTAAACATTGTAACCAACTTGCCACCAACGAAAAATTATCCAAATAACATCCTTCGTTCACCACGCTGGGCTCGGGGATTTTCACGAGCTTCGTGAGTTGCCGAAACTCACAAAATTAGTCTTCGCGAATAATTACCAAGCTAAGGGGTTTCAATGGTATGGTTTACAAGGCTTCACATGACACTTGACGGGACAGTGAACAAAATGGCCATGTTTTGGGAAAAACAATAACAAACAAGCCAGAGATAAAGTTACGAGTAATTTTGTTTTAAAGAATAAATAAATACTACTAATTAGTAATGGCAATGAAATAAAATTAGATATGATCAAATACTACTAGTGTCTTATTATGTTATTGCACATAGCATCAACTATGAATGTCAGTTCATAATAATAATAAATTTACAATGTACAAATGTAGCTGTCACAAAAATTTTCAAACCTGAATATTGTCAATGGTTTCCTTGATGGAGGATTGAACAAATCCATCCATGAGTTCATGATTGTCTCGCAAACTGTCAGAGATGCGTAGTAGCCAATGTGCATGTAGGGGCTTCATAATAGACAGCCTCAAATCAACATTAACTTGCCTGATATCTTCTCCACATTCTAAGGCTACCACTATTTTGCTAGCATACCATGCATTAAATTCCTCCTTCAAGCATTCTTTGAATTTGCCGTTGAATGAGAGGTTCAGAGGTTGCAGCTCCGATGTACAACAAGGAGGAACAAATACTGGTATCACACCACCATCACGGAGTTTCTGTAAAAAACTCTTGCTTTGGTGTGCTCGAAAAACATTGAATATCACCAAAGATTTTTGTTCAGCTGGCAGGCTAAGTTGATTACAGATTTTCTGGATGTGTGGAAGGAGAACATTGTCGGCATAACGTTTCATACTGTCCTCATTGCTCCAGTGGTTAGTGGTGTGGTAAATGTTCCACTTGGTGGGAAAATTAAAGTTCGGATGACATTGACTCGTTTTCCCTTATAGCACTTATGGTGGCAACAAGTTTCCGGCCATGGAAACACCAAACAGCACGGTGATTTCCCGCTTATCCTCTAACCCAATAATCAGGACTTGTTTGTCTCTTTCTTGGGCCAATGTCCATGAGCTCATGGGTATGATATGGACTCCATTTTGATCAAAATTGATCACTAATTTGGCAGGTACATGTATTGCTTTGTTTGACACAGCTTCTGAATCATTCATATCGCCAAATAAACATGGAGGAATGGACGAAAATTCAAAACATTCATCGTGATATTGCAAATCTTGAATTACATTGCGTTTTTGTTGTACCATACATTGCATTTTTAGAGTTCATCAATTTTGTTTCAAATACTGCAGTCGCACAGAGATAACCAGAACGTTGAAAACTTCGTGAAATCCTCGTGCAGTAAGTTAAGTTTTCGGATTCTCTCAAATTTGTTTTGACCTTTGCCACCTATTCCCACATCAGAGTAAATTACAGCATTAATTGTTCCCCGGGAATCTTTGCTGGTATTTTAGCTTAGAAACAGAAGGGCCATAAGACTTGATTTCCAAGGATGCAGGTCATTTGGATCGAACGATTTCTTTTGTTTAAAGTTCGTTGTATGCCTAGAAACATGGCAACGCTGTTATTTTGGTGAATATATAGAACATGCCCTATTCAAATAAAGGATTTTGATATGCCAATCGAACAACTCCGTACTGACACGCCTTCAGTATAAAAAGTTCCCAAATCTCCGAAATTTGACAATGGCACTAGCCCAAAATGTAATCACAGTGTTGAGGGACTGTGATGTAATCTATAATTTTGATGTCGCCGTACGTAAAAACACGCTCTCGAACTTGACAACATTCAGTCTTTAACAACTAACCAAATGAATGATGATTCGATTTCTATGCAATTGTGATTCTCAATTTCTATGTATAAAATATCGCTGGTATGGACATCAACGGCTGACAGACTATTTTGATTCTGTAAGCTTTCTTGACACTGGCAACTGACTTTTATCTTTTTGTTACTATTCTTACTTTTGATTGGTCGAATTAAGTAAGTAAACGATCCAGTGCATAGTCAACATGAAACTCTGGATAACATGTAGGACCTGAAAATAGCGTCAACATACAGCATTAATGGGCAAGTGACAATCCCTTTTTTTAAATCTCATTTACTAGGATTTCCACATGAAGTAACACGTTATTATTATAGCAAGAAAAAATAAGAATTTCTTTTGTTCAGGTTGGATAATGGATTATATAATTAATATAACATGGGTATTTTTGTAAAGTGTACCTTTATGTATTACCGGTAATATATGCATACAATTAAAATGATAAAAACCTCAAATGCAATTGTAGTAGACATGTAGAGTAAACAAAATTATCAAGAGTGATTTTGGATTACCAGTAGTTAAAATTTTGCCAACATGATGTGATATTATATATAATTGGTGGTGGAATTACCAAGCCATTTTATAAAATAGTGAACAAATATTTTGGTAACAAACACTAACCGTAAAATACACCAATCATTGTCACTTATGAAATATTTTATGTTGAAAATTCTTAATTTTATGTTCGTTGTATTGCAACACATTAGTGAAACAGTGACCCCTCGTGTCAGGATCCAAACAAAAAACGCGAGATATCAGGGTTCGTGAGGGGAGGTTCATGCTTTGAAAACGGGTAAATAACACATATACACATGTGTTCGTAGTAAGTTTTCATTATTGGAAAACATCACAGCTTCCATGCCCACATGGATTCAACTCATTGTAGTGCATATTTTATAGAGCTATATCAAAGGCAGACCGGCCGAGAAGTACGTAAAGTCGCGATTTAATACCCCGTCAACACCTTGTAATTGACGGACAGTAAGTGTTAAGTTGTCTCCTCCAGCCCTTTTACGACTAATTAAATACAAGATGCAACAAAACATTAGTTCTTTTACTTACTTCTGTTACATATGTTACATACAAAATATTGTCAAGTAATATGAGAGGATGCACTAGAAACTAGCTAGGATATATACACTGTTACCAATTATCATGTATGGGTCAGAAGTATGGGGTGCTTTCACTTTTGAACTGTACAAAACAAAACAAAATAGTATTATTACTAATGAAGCATTCATTGAAAAATTGTTTAGTGACAAAACCCAATTTGAACAGCTTCACATCAAATTCTGTAAGCAGGTCTTGGGTGTACATAAGAAAGCAAGCAATAATAATGCTGTCAGAGCAGAGTTGGGATGCTACCCTATTATTATTGAACTCTGCACACATATGCTGAAATTCTGGAAGAGACTTAAGAATTATAAATGGAATGAATTGGTGTGTTCTGCTTTCAACCAAGAAAACAAAGTTAAAACAATTGTATGTAGAAAATATTTGGTTGCAAAGTCTACAAAAAGCAGAAAATAACAAATTACGAACATACAATAAAATAAAATTAGCATTCAAATTTGAGCCATACCTGGATCTTATGAAAAATATAAAACATCGAACCAGCTTAACTAGCTTTAGAATTTCAGCTCAATTCACTACGTTCAATTACCCACCATAGACTCCGGTCAGTCAAAATGACTATTTTGAACTGTAGGCATTAATCAGTGATTCTGCCGGTGACAGAGAGATAGAATCTAGGTCAGGGGAAGCCCCGTGACCCCAAGATTCTTTTACCCCTTACATCACGAACCCACATGACCGAGGCCACATGGCAGCGCCATAGGCAGCCGTCAATCACTCAATTTCATCTCCGCCTCGTCGGGAATGATTCTGAGCGACTCTGCCTGGCTCAGTTGCTTTTTCATGTCCGGGTTTCTAGCGTGGGTTGTTGGCGCTGCACGGTATCCAACACTGTAGCTGGTAGGCCGGGTAGATCAGATGCAGTCGGAGCGAGCTGTCTCCACTGTGTCCCCTCGGTGGGCAAGCTGGAAGAAACACGAAAGCATGTTTGCATTCAAACACGTCTCTTCCGGGAACCCCCGTTCCCAGCCGAGGCTCTCCCACTATTTTGGGGGGAGGCCGAGGCTTAGGCTAATTGCACCGGGCCTCTGGAGCCTCGGGCACTGAATGCCAACGGGGTGCTGGCAGCCAAGCCTCCGATCTCGGGGCAGGGCTTTCAGGGCAGGGCACACGTTGACCCCCCCCCCCCTACTTTCAGCCAGCTAGGGTTCGTCATGCGGTAACGGTACATTGGTAATGAATTTATCCTTGTGTCCGGTCTCCACTGTGGGTTTTGACTCCCTTCTTACCAACCCACAGGCGTCCCCAGAGTGAACCGACCCTGTCATGAGACGCACAGTCGAACACACTCCCTCTCATATATTTAAAGTGAAAGAGGAGGCAGTTCGCTTGCGTCGGATACAGCCGGTACTCCGGGTGGTCCCTCAGAGTCTTCCATCCGTATGACTCGGTGAGCCACGCTTTTGGGGTGATGCGGAGTATCATCGATCCCAGTGATACGATGTAGATACCCCCACCCTTGATCCTAAGGCGACCACCTAAGGTTGCTTCAATGCTTATGGGATCACGGGCGTCGGGATCCAAAGCAACCCCGTCGGCACCTCTCTCCCTGTCTGTCTGAGTGCGGAGTGGGGCGCAGAGCATGCAAACGATGTTGATGGGCGGCGCTGGTCAGCCACGGAGGATGTATTGCTTAAGGCCCCTGGGTGGGGATAACATTAGGCAACACTTGCTCCCTCTCACATATTTAAAGTGAAAGGAGACTCAGTACGCTCGTGACGGATACAGCCGGTACTCCAGGCTGTCCATCTGTAATGACTCGGTGAGCGGAGTGGGGCGCAGAGCACGCAAACGGTGTTGATGGGCAGATGTTGGTCAGCTGCGGAGGACATAACGCTTAAGGCCCCCGGGTGGGGAAGACATTAGGCAACACTCCCCGCTGGACCAAACGCTACCCGGTCGGTGTGGTTTCGGGATCAGACCATAGCGTGGGATGAGACCAAAACGCCCCCAACCTGATTCCAAGGCTCCTTCCCCAGTCCCCAGTACCACGAATTTGACAATCCGGGCAAAGGGGGACAGCCGCGTTCCATGGGCGTCCTTACCAATCGAAGACGACCCATCCAGCCCTGAGGGCAGAGTTGCTTGAGCGCATTATTGTGCATGCCCAGGACTCTGGAGACCTTGGAGGCAGAACGCACCATCCTCCTAGACCAGGCGACATTTTTACTGGTGGGCTACTGCACATCTGCATGCGACACCCTCTAGTGTCACTTGGCTCTCTTGGCCAGGGCCACGCGGCCTTAGACGCACGTGTTTTCACCGACAAGCTGAGTCGGGGTACATCCCCACCTCAGTGACGCAGACTGGACATCCTCCACCCTCTTTGTTCAGGGAATGGTGGGTACAGTCTCGGAGCTTCAGAGTGCAATGAACCAGAGGGTTCAGATCAAATCCGCTAGCCAATTGGCCCTGCCAAGGGCAAGCGGAGGACACCCCAAGCACAGAAAACACAACACCCTAGGGCGTCGTCCACTAGCCTGTGTCAGCCAGGAGGCAAGCGCTCATACCCTTCCATGAGAGGGAAGAGTAGTGGTGCACCCTCAGGGAGGTGGTGGCTCCTCACCCTCTCTGGACGGACGTCTACCTGGCAGCGAGGGAAGCGTGTTTGACGCCCACCTCTGCAACCGGTGTTGGGGGGGGGGCAGGCATGTGTTCGGTGAGTAGCCAGGTCACAACTTAGTGACTACTTCAGGCCTTGGGGGACTCACTTCATGGGGGAATGGAGCACCCCCTCGCAACTGCCGAAACCCATGGCCACATATCCCTGTCGTACACAGATTGCGCCGGGGTAGTCCGGTTTGGAGACAGCGGGTGACCGACCCCTGGACCTTTCCAGGTGGTGACATCCTGTTATGGGATACAACTGAAATCTCCATTTCCCCCCGTCAGCTTCCCAGTTGGGCACTGTCAGAGGACTCAATGAGACAGGAAGTAACATTTTTCTGGGAAAAGGTGCCATACACAGGGTATGTCAGCCGGAACTAAGTCCAGGCTTCTACCCAAATGTGTTCGTAGTACCAAATCTACAAGTGGCGGGTGTCCAGTTCTGGACCTAGGCAGACTGAATCAGTACGTGCTCCTCGATCAGTTCCACATGGAGACACCATTCAGAGTTCTCCTCTCCATTCACCGTTTCGACTGGCTAGCCCCACTAGACTTAAGCGGGGCCTACCTGCACATACCGATGCACCCAGCAAGTTGCCATCTCCTTCGAATTGCCCAGCTGGGCCAAGTATTCGAATTTTGGGTGCCCCGCCCCCGTTCGGTTTAGGCACAGTGCCCTACATGTTCACCCGAGTGATGAAACAGGTAGGGCTGCTGCTTCACCAGATGTCGATACACCTCAATCCGTACCCAGACTACTGGTTACTAACAACCTGGGCAAGGGGTTAATAGCCAAACACGTCAGGCTAACACAGGATTTACTTCACTAGTTGGGTTCGTTAGTAAATCGACAAGTCCCACCTCGACCCAACACGTAGATGGTGTCCCTAGGCATGGAGTTTTGACACAGAGGTAAGCTTGGCTTATCAAGCGTGTTGCTTAGCGCTAAGCAGCCTAGCTGAATGCCTAGTCAGCGTTCCCTCAGGGTCCCTCCGAGAACTAATGCGGATCATCAGAATGATGACCTCAGTTCAAAGGGTTGTTCCTCAGACCGCACTACGCAGCTGCCCGGTATAATGCTTGTTATAACGGCGAGCTCACTTATGGAAACTAGATAAGCGGGTTTCGTTGTCGGACCAAGTGAAGGAAGCCCTGCCCTGGTGGTCGTCACTGGCCAACCTCGGACAGGGGGGCCCCTTGGACCCGCTCGCCGCAGGTATGACTCTCTTAACAGATGCCTCCCCCCAGAGGAGCACATCTATTGGACCAACAAGCCCAAGGATATGCCCCCGCATTAGTTTCGGGACTACCATATCAACCGGCTCCAACTGAGAGCAGTGTACTTAGCACTAACATGCTTTCTACCCGTAGTTCGAGACCACAGAGTCCTGCTCCGCACAGGCAATGCAGCGGTGGTCTCCTTCAAGAAGGAGAGGGGGGACGCCTTCCCCATCGTTGTCGGTCCTAGTCGAGCAAATCCTCCTTTGGTGCCTGGAATACAAATGTACAATGTGGAGCTAACTGCACACCACCTTCCAGGGGTGAGGAACAGAAAAGTTGAGATATCAAGAAATACCTCCAGAAGAAAGAATGTGTACACTATGTGATCTAGGGGCTGTTGGCAGTGAAACTCGTGCATTCATGGACTGTGAAAATATTGAAATTAAGAATAGTCGTATAGAATTTTTAAATATGGTTTCAGTTTATGATGAAAAAATTCAAGAATTATCTAAGGATAACTTACTTAAAAAATTATTTACCTCAAATGATAGTTTCATTGTTAACAGTCTCGGAAAATTTGTTCATCAAATTATAATGTCTAACAATATCTAAATTTTATTTTTTTTCTTACATGTATTACATGTACTACTAATATTTTATATTTCTTTGCTTACTTATTGTTTTATTTGTTATTGATGTTTGTTACTTCTTGTTGTTGTATGTTTATTGACCGTAGATAATGTAATTCAATGCATTATTTCGTGCCAAATAAAATATACTATACTAGACTACTATACTATACTATACTATATACCGGTACATCCCAGTTAACGTATATGCATTCTTACAACCTTATACTAAAATATGAAGTTACACAGATAGGATAAATGTCTCATGGCATGGAAAAATAATGCTTTCTTTTGTCTAGTTTATATGATAAATATTTTCAGTGTGTATGTATTAAAATATGCAATCATGGTACATGTACAAAGTAAACAAAATTATGTGAATTTGTATTGTAGGAATTTCCATGCCAGTTTATAAAATTGTGAGCAAATATTTTCGTAAATACTAATTCCCATTTAAGGTGCATATAATTACATATCTCATATACTTTGTATCATTTTAATTATACATGGTATTCCCAGATCAACACCGATGAAAAGACAAGTTTTCTGCACTCATTGCAAAGCTGCTAGTATGTAATTATAAAAAAATACATAAAATTAGAAAAAAAATTTGGAAAACAGTAGAATAAAATATTTATTATAAAAAGATAGTCTGAATCTAGCAATCTGATTGGCTGAAGCGAAGTCTGGCACTAGAAGATCTTGGTTATTATCTATCACCAAATATGGTAATTTTACCATGTCTTGTATCTGCTTGTCATTTAACAGTATATCCAAAATGAATTTGACCATGAATCCACCCTTCATGTTTATAAAGTGTGACCAATTTTATCAACCCACTGATACACACTGGATTGTGTGATTTTTCAAAGAATTTACAAATAGTCTTTTTATACTTGTTCAATCAACAGACAATTTTACCAGGTATATGGTTCACAAGGTGCAATTGATCTAAAAAATAAGACTTCAATAGCACAATCACTGTGTCATATGTAAGTATAACCACATGATGACCCCAGTTTATTATTATAGATATAAACTGAATGAATGCACTTAATCACGACTATTTACTGCTACTATTTACTATTTACTGGGAAGATTTACTGACTGCTACAGGGTAAGGGGAGATAGAATGTTTACTGACTGCTACAGGGTAAGGGAAGGGAGAAGGTTTACTGACTGCTACAGGGTAAGGGGAGGGAGAAGGTTTTCTGCCTGCTACAGGGTAAGGGAAGGTAGGTTTACTGACTGCTACAGGATAAGGGAAGGGAGAAGGTTTACTGACTGCTACAGGGTAAGGGGAGGGAGAAGTTTTACTGACTGCTACAGGGTAGGGGGAGGGAGAAGTTTTACTGACTGCTACAGGGTGAGGGGACAGAGAAGGTTTACTGACTGCTACAAGGTAAGGGGAGGTAGAAGGTTTACTGATGATTACAGGGTGAGGGGAGGGAGAA